GCAGAACGCGTTTGCCCCTGGACCTGTGTGGAGGCGGTGTGAGAGCGGGAATAAAGAATTGCTGTTTGAACCTACAAAGCTGTGAGTGCCTCCTGAATCTTGTGCCAAGCCGAGACATTGGCCTTGGCAGACTTCACTTCTTAATGTGAGGAACAGCCCAGAAACATTGCAAGCAGGGAAAGAATTGCTGGAGCATCTTTGAAAACACTCTTCCCTCTGAGGTTCTCAATGTCAGTAAGTAAGGATAACATTTCTATGTAAATCCAGTCCCTTCACCATTTGTATTACTGCTGCTTCTGCAGCAAATGGGTACATAACAGTTCTTCTGTAAACACTACACCAATTCCCAATTTGTGGGGAAATCTCCCTGATCTTGGTTGTTTGGCTTTGTATGTCAGTGAAAACTTTTAAACTATCTAATAAAAATAACTAGTTACTCTTTTAAAATTAACTTGATTTGTAACCTAATAAATTTTACAAAGTAATAAAACCTCAAGAAAGGCTTTTTCTGCTCTTAAGTAGAATCTTTAAAGTTTGATTAGTTTCCAACGGAAAGCTGTCGAGTTGAGCAAAGAGCCTGTCTTCACAGTTTATGAGGGTGCCATTTGGTAACCTGAAGGTGGCAGATGTGAAGGCCAAAAGTGGAGGACGTTAGTGGGGCCAGGACTGGGGGCTTCCAGATGCTTTCCTGATGGGCTCTCTGTCAAAGTCTTTCTTCTGAGGAACGTGACTCGCTATAGATCTTAGAATAAATATTTCATTAGTCATGATGGTTTTGAAAACTTAAAGCTGTGAAGGACACATTGGAATCTCTGTGATTTATGATAAAGCTGAAGGAAACTTGATCATTTCAGTCCTGCCATATGTAGCTGTGTGGCATGTGCAAATGAATTGAACTAGCAAACCCTGCAGATTTTGTTTCTTGATTAAAAAAAAAAGAAAAAAAAAAGGAGTCTTAAGTCAGATCAGCTAACAGGCAATTTGAAACAGGGATTTAGCAAGGCAGCTGTTTTAGATGAAATTCCTTCCAAATGGTTCTCTCTCCCTTCCCCCTTCCATATTTTTTTCATGAGGACTCACAGCAGCTTTTCTTCCAAAACTTTCTTGATGATGCATATGAGTGATTAAAAAAGGACAACCTGTATGGTCCTGTAGGTGCATATTTACTTCTCCATCACTTTGCTCCTGGAGGGCGGATAGTGTGTCTTAGCCATCCTTGTAAGCCCGCCCACTCTTATGCTCTGCATATACTCCTTTGTATGAAACACACAAAGCATTTAGCACGGAAGCTCCATAAAAAAGTACAGATGTGCTTTTTTAGTTATTAGATGTCAAACTTCATACAGTAGTGAGATAGTCAAACCAGTTAGAACCCAGGTCTCCATACATGTAACTCCAGATATGTAACATTTTTTTTGTATTATACTGTGATAGGAATTTAACAAATTTTATTGAATAAATGAGTGAATTAATCCTCTTGTTAACTGTATGTATTTCTGGCATTGCAGATTACAGAACAGTACATTTAGAGAACTTAAAATCTGAAATTCAGGTGAGTACTACTATTCTAGAAAAACATGAATCTTTGACTTCTGTCTTCAGCAGCCCAAGAGCAGACCAGCCTGGCTAAAGGGAGGGAGTTATTCATAGGCACTGACCAGGTCATTTGAAAAAGGACTTCATGTTTCGATACGTTCATTCCATCCGCATTTGCCTACAATGACAGGTGCTGTGATGTGGTCAGACTCACTGAGTGAATGTTCTGTTCTCTGTGGCACACATCCACATTCCCTTGTCCAAACCCTTGGGCAAAATTTCAAAATATTTTGGATTTAAAAAGGAAATACAGTGAGTATTCTGAGTAAGTATCATGTTTATATAGGTCTGAGAGGATGCTATGAATAAAGATCTCTGCAGTGAAATTAACTTTTTGTTTTTCAGTAGAATTATGTCTGTAAGTAGCCTCACATCAGATTAGAACAGACTTAAATTGCCCAATGAGCTTTGGAGCCAAACTTACAAAAACATTATAATTTCAGAATTTAAAATTTTAGAATTGTGGCTAACAGATTATGGACTTGTTTCCCATTTAAAAATTCAGCCCTATGTAAACATAGAGAGGACATTCTTTGAATGACTTTTAATCATTTGGAAAGAAAACACACTCATCCCACTTTCTCTGTCTTGTACCAACAGAAGAAAAAAAAAAAAGGTGGTGTTTCTTTTCAGATGGAAGAAGCATGTCTAGAAGGAATGCATTTCTCCACTCAGTCTCAACTTAAAAATCTTACCTTTACCCAAGACAGCAATCATGTTAGAGTTTTTTAATGCCCATATGAGTGAACTTTGTAACATGCATTTCCAAAAAAATCTACATTTCATTTTTATTGCATCTCAACCAGGTATCTTTTTTTAAATTTTTGCATGTTCTTATTGGTACATTATAGTTGTGCATAATGGTGGGATTTATTCTTACATATTTGTACACACATACAATGTACCAATATAATTTGGCCAATAGCATTCCCGAGTATTGCCCCTTTCCTTCCCCTCCTAACTCCCCCAGTCTTTTTTCTCTACCGATTTTTCTTCAATTTTAATGAGATCCCTCCACATCTTTCTTTCCCTTTCTCTTCTAGCTTCAGCATATAAGAGAAAACATACAACCCTTGACTTTCTGAGTTTGGCTTATTTCACTTAAGATAATATTCTCAATTTCATCCATTTTCCTTCAAATGACATAATTTCATTCTTTAAGATTCCTGGACATATAAATAGCTATTTTATTCATTATTTGCAGATTTCTTATTAGTGTCATTAGACAATCCAATTTGTTTTTATGGGCATTCCAGGCTCAATTCTGTGGAAAACATTAATTTTTTAAAAAAATACTTCCTTTAATCTGAAGCTGCACATTTGATGTGAGTTCTTCGCGTGAGTGGTTTATACAGAAACATTGTGGTTGTTGGAAATGGTATTCAGGAAATATCACTTTTCAAAATAAATACTGAGGAGTGGTATGGCTGGGTCATATGGTGATTCCATTCCTGATCTTTTGAGAAATCTGCATATTGATTCCATAGTCAACCAGACATCTTATCTGACATGTATCAGGTGTACAAACACCATCTTCAGCTAAACTTTTCTTCTCCCAACCAGTTCAATGTCTGCAGCACTTCTCTGTGAAATGTGACAATAACACAAAAGAGTATCAGGGGTAAGGTGACAAAGAGAAAGTTTGCCTGAAATGTGTTCAGTAACTAAGAGTTCAACTAACTACGATTTGGGGTGTGTTTATTGTTGTTGTTGTTTGTTTGTTTGGCTCAGTGCAGTCATATTCTCTTAAGACTGGACCAATGCAGGAAAGGATCAATGTAGAGTCGGCACAGATGCCGTCGGCCTTGGAGCATCCATCAGTACAACATGAAGAAGGGAGTAGCAAGGTAGAATGCTTTAGAGAATGACTCCCTACTCCTTGAAATCAGAATCCAAATTTTCTCCATGTCATTTTTTCAGAGTTCAAAGAGAGTTATTTTCTTAAATTGCATTTTATTTCTCCGGGAACATCTGCCCTGCTGGTTTCATCTTGCGTGTAAATGAGTCACAATAGCAACAATTTCTGTCACCCTTGTCACTGATCTGGAATCAAAGATACCAGAGAGCTTCTTGAGAAAATGTAGAGAGAACTGTGGATTCTGTGAAAATATGAGTTCTGCATTGTTTCTGCTCAAATAAGATTCTGAAAAATTAATATTTCCTTAACACTATCTCCAGCAACCACAATGTCTGGAATAAACCACTCTTAGGAAGAACTCACATCAGATGTGCAGCTTCAGATAAAAGGAAGTATTTTAAAAATCAGTGTTTTACAAAGAATTGAGCCTGGGCTGCCTCTCAAAGCAAACTGGATAAACTAATGCCACCAGTACGCAATCCACTGCAGATAATGAATATTTATATGCCGAGTTATCTGAGATCTCAGATTACAGAAGTTAGCAAAATGAGATTAGGTTATGTGGAAAGGGAAGAAAAAGACTAGCAGATATTTATCACTTCTTTAGTTTGAGTCCTTTAGCTCATCTGACTTTTCTCCTTCTCTCCAACCAGCAGCCATAGTCATTATTTGCAAATGGACACCAAAATATGTTGCTTCCTGTTGATACTTCTTTGGCTTCTTCCCACTTCACTGAAGAAATATAAAAAATTCTTAGCACATCCACAAGTCTCTGTATGAACAGGCAAATATCTAGCTCTGCAGCCTTAGCAGGTGCCACCTACACCCCAGTTCACAGGCTCTCTGACTGTCCTCTTGTTCTTTGCACATGCCACTGTCTTTCTTGCCTTCCAGCCTTTGCATATTCAATCTAACATGTCCTTATTTCAATTTGTTGGTCTTCGAGTGTCTATTTAAATGCTCTATGTTCCAAAAAGTTCCACCAGATTGCATAGACCTATTTTTTCATAATACCTTATAAAAAGATGTGCTCTTTTTAATATAATTCCTTACCACTTTTATTTATATGGTTATTGGTATGATTATGAAGTCATTGTTTCTCTACAATTTTCTAAGTTCTCTTAGGCCTAGAATTGAGCCTGCTATGCTTTACCATATTTTCAGTGCCTAACAAAGTTCCTCTAACATATATAAAGGATTCAATGAATATTTAGATAAATGAGACACACGGTATATCATAGGTATATCTGCTCACTCGCATATTGAGTCACTTGTTTCTGCCTTCTGTGTCTGTCTTAGAGGTGGAATGAGACCAATAAAATCTGTGTCATGAGTTGAGATGAGGGCCGAGGCTCGTGGAGAAAGGACCAGCTGAGGAACTCTCCTTCAGACTCTCTCCCAACCAGTGCAATATCTGCAGCACTTATCCATAAAATGTGACAATGACACATAAGAGGGTATCAGAATTAAGGTGAAAAAGGTAAATGTGGCCTGAAGTATGCTAATTAGTTTAAGTACACAGTAAATTTCTCAGGATATCAGGCTCCATATGAACTTCTAATGTAACCCGTGCTGTTAGGAAGGGAAAGACCTCTGAGTTTCCAAACATCTTCAAAATGGTAGGATCACTGTGACGAATGAATAACAGAAATTCCCACAATTATGTTCCTCTCTAGAACACAGAAGACAACGTTGATTTTAAATTCCTGGTTGTGAAACATAGAATGTCTCATCAGAATGGGGAAAGAGTTGCACCTGAGTAATTACCTGGGAGAAAGGAGTCTGCCCCAACACACGGATGTATTTCTATCTACATACATGTCATTCGAGAACTGCTTAGGGTACATGAGCGCTGACACAAGCAGATGAAGACACTGCAGAATGATGCTGGGGAGTTAGTCTGAAATAGCTTGATGCCTTCCAGATTCAACAAAAAGCTTACACCAAAGTAAGAGCATCCATTATTTTAAAGAGAGGAAGGAAAGAGATGGGAACAGTGATTAATCCCTTGGCCTTTAAAGAGTAGATGTATTCATCTTGCAGTGGAGGGGAGATTGGGATGGAGACCATTTCTGATTGGACTTTTTTTTTCACTGTCTACTCAACCATGGTTCAATGCTAATGTGTGCATGTGTGTGTGTGTGTGTGTGTGTGTGTGTGTGTGTGTGTGTTAAGAGGAGTGGAATGTTACTTCAAATAAATAATCTTGCAGCCGCCAACAGCTGTTCCTGATTTCCTTTAATAATCCGTGACAAAAATATTGAGTGTACAGTAATGCAAACAGCCAAACAATGAAATGAAAGCAGGCAGAAGCAATCACTTGCTCTAACTCCATCTATTTTATTTGACTGCACCCAGTGGGTCAAGATGTTGGAATAACCATTACTGTTGATGAGACAGAAAGGTTGTGTCTGTGGCACATTCTTTGATGTGTCATATATTTTTCTTAAAATCCATTCTTGAGTTGAAAAGTTAGAAGTCAATATATTTAACTTTTTTTTAATAAAAGTGATCTTTCTTTCTGTCTTACTAATTCATCTTATTTCTTTTTTCCTTTGTGTCATTCATTCTAACTTTTTCATTATTAACTCAGCCAGAACTTGGGGAATCATATCCTATGAAAAGAGTATACTTAAATGAATTGACACGTGTATTATGTCTTACTACTTGATACCCGACTTCCTCTTAGATTGGAAACTGCCTTCTGTCAGGAAAAAATATCACCCTGCATGCCCTCCACTCAGCTGCACCATCTTTCCACACACACCTGGACTTTCTTGAACAGATCACTTTCCTTCTTGCCTCAGGATCTTTGCATATGCCATTAGCTGGGACTAAAGGAGACTATAAGAGTAGGAGCTAGCATGGGGAAAGGAAATGAAATGGTAGATAGAACACTTTAAAAATTAGTAGAGAATTGTATACTTAAGATTTGTGTATTTAACTGTTTGTGTATTAATTTTCTGGGCTTCTGTAACAAATTAACACAAGCCAGTAAGTTTAAAACAATAGAAATTTAGTCTCTCACCATCTGGAGTCTATGGGTCTGAATTCTAGGTGTGGACATGACCAGGTTCCCTCAGCAATCTCCAGGGGATGATTCATTTCCTGACTCTTCCACTTGCTGGTGGCTCTGGGCATTCATTGTCTTCTAGCCACGTCTCTCCTCCAGTCTCTGCCTCTGTGGTCACATTGCCTTCTCCTCTTCATTATTCTTTTGTTAAGGACACTTGACCTAGGACTTAGGGTGCATCTGTATAATAAAGCCTAATTTCCTCATCTCAAATATTTAGCTTAATTTCATCTACAAAGACGCTTGTCCCAAATAAGTTAACATTTACAAGTTTGAGGAATTATAACTTGGTAATTTGGGGTGGCCCCTATTCCCTTATTTTATTAATTTTGTGAAAACTACTTTCAATGTGTTGTCTTGAGTTTTATTCTTTCTGGTTTTCCTATATTGTAAGTTTGTACTTATGTATTCTTAACATTTTTTTTATTTTTTTCATAACCAGGTTAGCTAATGAATTGGAATTTTATAGACTTTTCAAAGGAAAAACCACGACTTTGTTTTTTAATTTTGTAATTTTATATTCCAATTATTTTAGAATAAAATTTTTCACTTGTTGTATCATTCTATGTTTGTTAGTTTTGTTGTAGCATTTTCCCTAAACTTTTAATTTAGGTGCTTAATTCATCTAAGTTTTATTATTTCTTGTGTAATGACAACTTTTTGACAAAACACATAGTTTTAATAAGTGTTTTTTCTTTGATCTAAAGTGTTTTTAAAGAAAGATTCTTCCAATTTAGAGGTAGCACGCTATTTTGTTTCCTAATTTCTATATGAATTTGAGAATGAACACATAGTTATGAGAGATTGTTATCCTTATTATTACCTTAACAGATTTGTTGGGTTTTCTTTGTGGCCAAGGTTCATGACTGTTCCAGAAAAACTATCCTACTTTCGAGTTAAAAATTAAATAGAACTATCTTACTAATTATGTTACTTATGTGTCCCATGTCTTTAGTTATTTTTTAAACTTGATCAAGAACAAAGTGATAGCAAATAAAAGTCTTCTTCTCTTAGTGTGATTCTTCTTATCCTTGGATTTCCCATACAATTTGCCTTGTGATTATTAATGCTAAAGTATCTGACATGTGGATATTAATACTAAAGTATCTGACATATTCATAACTGTGAACATAATTGTTAATTTCATCCCTTCTCAGTCTAAGTTGCTCACAGTTTATCACCTACTGCATTTTTCTCTTGATTCCCTCCAGTATTCAGATCATGCCTCTGCTTTTCCAACCCGTTTGCCTACATTTTCTTCTTTTCTCTATTTTGATTTTCAACAATTCTGAGATACTTTGCATTAAGTACCTATTATATAAAGCATATGACAAATTTGCTTTGTAATTCTAAAAAAAAGGCCTTTTCATTTTACTAGGGAAATACATTTCTGAATATGTCTATTAGTAGAAAAATAATGTTTGATCTTCGGTACATGTAACATTTGATGCCATCATTCCTGTTTTTATCCTGACCTTTTATTTTTTATAAGACCTGCACTCTCTTTCCTTTTGCATATCTTGATTCTTATCATTTGAAAGGCTTCTGCGTCAGTTCTGCTTGATTGCCATTACACAATATCCTTAATTCTCTATTTCTTTCGAAAGACTGTTAATTCCTTCCCTCCTATGATCAGTGACAACGCATTGTTCTATTTCCCACTCCCTTTTCTGGCACCATCCAATTTTTGTCTGATCATATATGTTTTGTCCTAATATTTGCTTTTCTGTCTTTAAATATGCTTCATCCTTGGTAACTTCACTGTATGGACTTAAATAATTTTGCATTCCCACCCCTTGTGAGTTCAGGGTTGCTTCTGATCTCTTAGCTTTCACTTATCGTCTTCTGAGCCAAGCAGGCTTCCTTGACTTGGAGAGCCCTAAGGCAGAAGAGCCTAGAGCCTGCACAGACCAGAGCACAGCCTGCAGAGGTGTGTCCAGGGATGCGATGGGAGAGCAGAGGTCATGAGCATGTGCTCTGGTGTGCACAGCAGGGTGGGTGTTAATTCATGCAGCATCAGTCCAGCTTTGATACCATCCTTGAGCCTCAGGTTGCATCACCTCTATGACATCAGCCAGCGTGGGAAAGGCTGTGACAAGGGCTGATCCGTTCACACTGACTATCTTCTGGCTTATCTTCTCTCTGTGTTCTGATAAACAGCAACTGTTGCTGCTGTTCTTGTTGCCATGAGAACAAACATGGCCACGTGACTTGGTGCACTCTAGCTATTGCCCAAACAGGCTTCAATGGGAGATGGGTCTGAAACTAGATCTAGTCCATAAGAAACACTGGTTGAAAAGTGCATTTTGGGTTGCCAATATAGTTGGTTAATAATGACTGTGATAAATAAGTCTTTAAGAGAATACATCATTTAAAAAAAAAAAAAAGGATTTCTCTGTCCTTTTCCTGGCCTAAAATACATGAAATTAAACAGACCAATTTCTCATATTGCTTAGGTATGTCTGTTTTTCTAAATTGCGGTTAGTAACTTCATGTGACCTCAGGCCTCACATCTTGATTAAAATCTTGTCTTTGTCCATACGACCACATGACTTTGGGCAAGTTACCCAAATTTTTGGTAACTCATTTTTTTCATCTGTAAAAATGGAAGTAATAATAGTACTTACTTTATGCTGTTACCAAGTAGTTTTTTTAAATAATATATGAAGAGTGTTTTATTACAGTGTCTAAGCCTTCGATATTGTGCATATGTTACTTCTTATCATTTTTGTTATTTTTACTATATTCTCATAATTAGGTAAGGGGTCCTTCTTACAAGTGTCTGTAATGCTTCCTAAGAATTATCTTACTTACAATGACCTGTGCACCATGTGTCTTACTTCGGGCTGTACTGTGCATGAACACAGGGTCCCTGTTTATCTAAGCCACAGCTTTTTCCAGCTCCTGGTAAGTAGTAGAACACAGTGGGGTTCAGTAAACACTTTGTTACATGAATGGATGAATCAATCAATCATTAAATCATTCCTGCTAAATGAGCTCCCTTTATGTGCTAGTTTTTTAAAGTAAAATATATAAATGATTTAACTCAATCACTACAGAGAAACACTCACTCCTCCTATAAGCTTTGAGTTTACCTTTCATAACTAGACCTATGCCTTTCATGGTGAGCTATGGATCATATTGATAGATAAACCTACCCCAAAATGCTCCTCCCTGACCACCACACACAAATTGATCCAAATTACTCACATATGTGATTTTTTTATTATTAAATGATCTAGACTGTGTGATCATTCAGACCAAATCTGGACAGATTCTCAAATCTGTTCCCTCTGTTTCTTTTATCTTAGAAAATAGTCACCAATACTTTTGCTGCTGTGTGAATAAAGATGGGTTAATTTCTCTAAATTCTCTGATGTAGATAATTACTTTTTTGGCCACTTGCCACTCTGTTTCAATTGAGTGCTCCCACAGCTGGAACTGATAAGCTTCAAACTGAATGCAGAGATACTGACCCAAAGATTTCTGGTTTTCTGGCAATCAGAGGTGACTCGGGAGTGTAGTCACTGGTGTTGAGGCAGCTTTGGATGACATGAAATTGTCCTTTGCCAGGGACTTGGGATTCCTTCCAAGTACATAGAGACACTCTGCATTCAGCTGATGCATTCTCGGCGGCATGTCTGATACAGAATTGTGGAGAGGGCAACAGCGGAAGGGAACTAACACTCAGAGAGCTCTGATCTGCCAGGCAACATCTCATTTAATCCTCACACCTGTCCTTTGCATCCTGTAATTACACCTCTTTTAGATGGGAGGCAACTGAGAACCAGAGGGTTGAAGTTACTTTTTCAGGGTCTAGATAGAAAGAAACAGATGATCTTTGACCACACCTGCTGACAGTAGGGGCTCCTCCCAAGTCCCAGTTGTAAGTAACCTGAGCTTTGCTTCTTCCTTTTTCCCTTCCAGGGTCAATGCTTACATTGTAAGGAGTGCTTCCTCTATTGCTTTCACTGCCCCTTCAACCTCACCTGCCTATAGACATGGGTCTTCCTGTTGAACACCCTGTTTACATGGGGCTTCCAGAACCTACCTTGGGACAGTCATTTACAGAAAGTAATCAA